AGTGTAAACGTTTCTTCTTACTAATAATATTGAAAGTAAGATAATAATATGATCTATTTGTGGATCACACCTGTGAATAAAACTGATGTCGAGTCACAAAGGGTCAACCCTTTGCACTCGAAATTTGTTCAGAAATATTCAATAGTTTCTAATCAAATATAGAGAAGATCTGTTCAAGCGAATTTACCAAAAAACCACACATAAATGGAACAAAGCTATTTTCTTTCAACATTTCACTAAATTTCATAATTTCACTGTATCGAAGGGTGCAAAAGGTTAACACTAGAACTACCGCGCCAGTAAAAACGACTTTGATTTCTTCATTTCGCAACGATCGATACCTTAAAAGCATCGAATACTCGAAACGATATTCAAACTAAATAGTTTCCCTTGAATACTACAACGAACGTCCAAAGAATCCAAGAATAATCTATTGTTACAGTTCCCATAGAAATTACATACTAACCTCGTTAAACACTCGGTAGTTCTAGTGTTAAATACCGTTCCTGACAGTCTCGCGGCCTAATGTAAGTAGCAATCACTTACAGAATTATCCCATTCTTAGTGTAACCGGATACTTTTGTGGAACACACACCTACTTACATTTTGAACGATTTCGAGCCATGCGGCAAAGTAAATCAATTTACCGCCGAGAGAATCGCAAACGACGGATCCAGAGGTGTACCCGACGACGTCATATTTCACGCTCTATCGTTTCCGTGGATTTTCGTTTCGGAACGCGAGCGTCGATAACAATCCGAGGTGACAATATCGGTTCGCGCGCGGCGCTCGTCCGTTATCGCGAGTCCACTGATCCACCGATCGCTCTCCTCGACCTTACCCGAAACATCGGATCGCGCGCGACCGGTAGGAAAAATATTCGCGCAGCGAAAATGCGGCATCGTTCCGCTTAATTATCAGACTGTCGATATCTATGCAAATCCCCATTTTCCTGGACGATTCCGCAACGACCGAAGAACGCAACGCCGGGGCAATGAAAGGGAGAAATATGGAGTTACGAACGGAGCATTCGAACATTCGAAAATATTTTTATCTCGTGCGCCGTTAATTCGCGGAACCGCGCGTCGCATTATCGTCGACGCTGTTGGCTCGGTTCTACGAGTTCGTTCGAATTTGCCGATTTGCAAGCGGCCGTCGCCGATCGCGCATTAATTACATTCGAATGCGTATCACTGCTGGTAACAATTACAGAGGAACGAAAGATACAACGCACGGTCATAGATATTCGAATGTAATTCAGCGATCGGAGAAACAAAGCGCGGATTCTCGCTGCGCGGACAATGGCGTCCGCCGTTTTACAGAAGGTCCGTAGACGTCGTTCGATTAACACTAGAACTACCGTCATTTCGACTGGTTTCAATCTCTTCCTTTCGAATCATCGATATCTGAACCCTTTGCGGACGAAGATTGAAAGTATACGAAACCTTTCGCAGATTCTGCTAAGTTAAACACTGAATGCTTCAATCATAGATTGAAGAATAAGGAAACTGTGTATTGATTTCTTGCTTCGACTAATTAAATCACTCCTTTGCAATTTGCTATTCCAAACATGATGTCGGTAAAATGCCATTCGTTCGCAAAGGGTTAATAGCATTGAATATTCGTAAAATAGTTTCACTTGAATACTATAACGAATGCCTGGAGAAACCGGAAATAATCTATTATTAAAATTTCTATGGGAGTTAGATATTAATCGTATGAAATGCTCGGTAGTTCTAGTGTTAGAAATCATCTGGCCCGAGTGACCGTGGACAGGATAATGATTATTCCACCGTTGCGTCGGCGTTCACGCGCGCGTCTTAACAAGTAATCCTTAACGAGTCGCGATCTGAACGAATATTCGTGTTGCCAGCGTGCTCGCAACCCGTGTCCAATCTAAATCGTCTAATTTACATCCTCGAATTGACTAGAAATTCCACGTCTAGTATCTCCCCTTGTGTCTCCTGTCGCGTTTTGTTTACGACCAGCCAACACGGCAATAGAAATTATACTTCATCTTGCGTCAGTCTATCTACACGTCTTTTGGAACATGCACTGCAGTCTTCCTGTCTTCAGACCTTAATCGAGTATCTTAAGAAACGTGTACTTATCTGTATTTGTATCTGTATCTGTTCTGTAGCTTGCAACTCTCGCGTCCTGAGTCGATCCGAGAAGCTAAAACTGCTGTATCCTAAGATTCCTAAAAATCTTTTTTACATCTCACTCCATTGTATTCTTAATCCTTTTCCCTTCGTCGCAATGCTTGGACCGATAACATCAATCATTTAATAGATATAGACGCGAGTATTCTGATTAGAAGACTCCCCACGTGACTTTTTAGTTTACATTCGCGGTTTCCAACTTGGACAATTTTGGGAGCCAACATTTTTAATAAAAAGTTAACATTAAAACTACCAGGTGGGTGAAAATTTCTAATCCCTTCTTTTACAATTACTGCAAAGCTAACTTCTTTAAGAAATGACTAAAGAACACAATTCAATAATATAAACCGCAATATAAACCAACTGAAACCTTAATAGATTCACGCTTGTAGCTCTTGCAAAAGAATTTTCGAAAGACGGTTGAAATCCTCGGTAGTTCTAGTGTTAATATTCATACCATAATATCTATAAATAAATAATGTTCGTATTGTAACGTACAAACTCACTGAAGTAATGTTTATTTTGCAATAAGTTATTATTATTCAAAACGTGTCCATATTATATCTATTAACACGTTGAATGCACGATCTAAAGCAAAATACACAAAATGGAAAAATGATACTAAATCATTCCATTGAATTGCATTATTATCATTTTTCTATTTTCTAGTTGAACGTCACAAAAGTAGCATTATTTGCAATATAGAAATGTTTCCAAACAATCATCGTTCCACTGAATGAACCATAGTAATTTGCACTCGGGAATCATTAATTATAATCATAAAGTAACCCGTTGCACTCGGAAATCGTTCATTAGAAATATTCAAAATTTTCCAATGAGTCATAAACATTCTCTAAAACGAACTAAATAATACATACATAAATCAATGAACAAAATTATTTCAATATTCCACATGTTCATGGATCACACGAAGCTTAACACTGTATAAAATTTTATAACGTTGATATCAAATTAAATGTTGGCTGTCGCCTCTCGAGTGCAAAGGGTCAATTTCCTTACGGCATTCAACGCATTAAAACGGGAAAAAATACTCTGTCCACGGAACCATACCACCATAAAGATTGGAAACCGCTAATTTTCTTTTTTTTCGATCAACTCGAGACACAAGAGCGCAGTATCTGTATATCGTGTTTAACCTTTAACATCGCCACCCCGGCACCTCGCTACTCCCATGACCATCCCTCCAGCGTTTCTGTAAATGTTTCAGTTTGTTGCATGTTTCGCCCTTAACCGTTCTAGAAATCATTACCCGTCAATATTGTGCAGCGAGCAACAACGCGGAGCTCCCTAAGCATGGCGTTTCATCGTGTCATCGTTCCGGTCGTTAAAACATCGGATCACCCTCGTGCCTACGTACCTAGCACGTCGTGCGCACGGAGAGCGCCGTCTCGAGTAATCGCGTCGGGCATTATTCCTCGAGCAGCCGGATGGCAATTCGGTCTCTCGCCGATCGATCCCCCGGCAGATTCTTCGTTTCATGTGTTCCCCGTGCATTAGTCACGACGACGACACATCCAACTATTTCATCGACCACCGGGCGAATCTCGCGACAAGTGAATGTTCGTTTCCACGGTTCGTTCGTTCGTTCGTTCGTTCGTTGGTTGTTCGACTTCCACGTTAACGTATACATAGCCATGTATGCATATTCGCGTACGAACGGAACACCTAGGCACGACCGTTTTCATCGACCACACTCGCACCCTTACTCTTACTCTTACTCTTACTCTCCTCCTATGCGTGTACAGAGCGACGAAACGGGGCTTCGGAATTTCGAGGATAGACTGACTCGACGAACAATGGAGGAACGTCCTGATAACGGATCAACGGACCAATATTGGTGGACTTCGGAACAATTTTTCGTTTCCCTATTCTTGGTAGAGATCAGGGTTGTAGTGGACTGGTTCGTTTTTCATGTAATTCTTTTGGTTATGGTGTTGTGCAAGGATGTAAGTAAATGCTTGGTGTATTTGAATTTGGTAGATTTGATTGTTTGGAAAGGTTGTTCTTGTGTTATCGGAACCATAGATTCTATTTGAGTGGTGTCGAACTCTGTTATTAACACGTTCAGTGTTATATGTGCCACGTATGGAGACACAATTTTTGTAAGAAAATGTTTTTAAGGGACAGTTGATGAAGAATAACAGTGTACGTTAGAAAGCACCGAAAACATGAAGAGAGGATATTAAAATATATAAAAATTACCGAGAACTTGAATATAACTTGATATCTCATTTAAAAAATCAGTACAGTTTATTAGGAAGATACGACCGAAACTTTTGTGGGACGGAACGTGTTGAATTGTGTTATCACAAAATAAAAATGAAGACGCACATTCATGTGGACTTAGGAAGAAATCATTCGTGACCGAAAGGATTAAGCCCTTGCCTTACAATAATGTGTCACGTGGTGCAGATTTCAAAAAGAATTGAATTATTATTATTACAACTATTATTTTCAATAGTTGAGAAATAAATCGTAAAGCAAGGGGTTTAAATGTTCCCTTCACGAGGGATCATTATCCTAAGAAATAAAAATAATAAAATCCCTACAATATGTTTGTACAGTTAGCCTACCACGTCCATGCCGCGCACCGGAAGTAGATGTTCAATGTAGATGATCAATAATGTATGTAAAAATTTATATAAATAATGATCAATAACTTATGTAACAATTTATATAAATAATGATCAGTAACTTATATAAAGATTTATATAAACAATGATCAGTAACTTATGTAAAGATTTATATAAATAGTGATCAACAACTTATGTAAAAATTTATATAAATAATGATCAGTAATTTATGTGAAGATTTATATAAATAATAATCAATAATGTATGCAAAAATTTATACAAATAATGATCACTAATTTATGTAAAAATGTACATAAATAATAATCAATAATTTATATAAAACAACCCGCAGTCGAATGACGTGGCAGTCAAACTGTCAAACTGTCAAACTGTCAAACTACTCCAAGCCCGGCAGAAAAAAAACTTCCGCACTCTTTCAAAATCGATATCACAGACGAATTACATTTCAAGGAAGAAAACGTGTACAAGAGATTTCAAATACTCCCGGAAATCGTTGAAACAACACGCAATTCTTCGGTACGAAGATGTGAAACACACGTGGAAATGAAAGGACAAAATCTCCAGGGATCACAGAAACAAGCAAGGATAAAACAATCTAACATTTTCAACCATGACAACTCTGCACAAACCACTCGCTTTAGCGAAACGAAAAATTCTTCACACCCTCGAAGATATTGATACTTCGACACAAGTTTATTCAAACGTTCCTCCTGCACTCGTCGGGCCACTGTCTACCCTTGAAATCCCGAACCATTCGATCGCCCTGTGTATATAGAATAATATACACATATAATTATATATGTATAATTAGATATATTACACAGGGTGCTTCGCCCAACTTTATCACCTAAAGTGTTACTGCTACTGCTGAAATTCCCGAAAAATCTGTCCCACGGAAATCGCGTGGTTCCACGGTGGCAGAGAACTCGATTCTGTTGGCGGATTAACTGGACGCGAAACTGAACGTTGTTCCTTTGATTCCTTGCAAACCGTTCGGATCAATTTTCCCGGAAATGCATGCCGCGACTACGTTGGTTTTTGTGTCGCAGAAACTTGTAAATAAATTTCGCCCGATAGCATTCCGTGCACATATTTCAATTGGAACAAGTTACAAATACGCGGTTGATATATTTCGAGCCGTATATCAAAATAAATTAGTGCACTGGCCAAGTTCGCCTTTCGTTTTGTCGGAGTCCCATAATTGAGATATAGGTGCAAATAATTGTTGCAATAGGGGATGTCGCTCGATCGGTGGCATATTTCATTTTATTTGTCTGTACACGATAACCTCCTTATCTCTTCATGAACTCGTTGATATTTTTTTTCAGTTCTAAATAAAAACTTCGAAATGTTTGATGAATGTTCAAAAATCATGTATATTGTGCAAAGTTTCTTTTATACGAATTAACTCCTTGCCTTATAATATGTTAGACTCGCGATGAAAATTTCAAAGCGAATTCGACAAATCTAAATGTTACTAATTTCTAACATAAATTAAGTATTACTTGTCTGTTATTGATTTCTAACATTTAGAGTAAATGTAGACATAAAGTATAAAATTCGTTTAATTTTCTGCTAAATTGTTTACGACATAGTTGTTCTATCGAGCACAGTCGAGAAGTAAATTATAAGGCAAATTATAAGGCAAGGGGTTAACCTTTTGCACTCGGGAGGTGAAATTACTAAATGTTACATATAATATTAAGTTCATATAAAATAACTTTCTTTCTTAATTTACGGATGTTTTCCCATTATTTCGTTTCAAATAATGTCGCCTGTGTCTCATTGGAATGTGTCGAAAGTTTCCAGTGAAAAGCTTCTGAGTTCAAAGGGTTAAAACAATTATAGACGCGTGTACCGCGGTGTTTGAAATGAAAGTGGAAGAAAAGTTTAACCCCTTGCTTTAAAATAACGTGCGATACCCTAGAATATTTTAAATAGAATTTAACAAACGTAAATATTACTCGATTCCTTTGAATTCAAATTGAATATTATTCTTCTGTTATCAATGATTATATTGTAAGACAAACGTAGACATAGAATACGCATCGAACTTCTTTCTTTTTTCAATCGAAATTTATTTTTCAGTTGAAAAGGTCAAGGGATTAAGGATACTTGGCTCATTTTGTCTGAATTTTAAATCACCAGCTCGGAAATTCGTTTTTCTTTACAATTCAATTGATTCACTGCATAAACAAACATGTTGTATTTCCTTTTCAATGCTAAAATAAAGTGATGTTTACTCAGTCCCTTCGATTTTTAAGCATCCTTCATTTGTGAAATATTTGATTAAATATTCATGTGAAATACACGTATTCTGATGTCACATTATTGTTGATATACAATTTCGGACATATTTCTGGGTTTTATACTGTTTATTTATTTAATAATTTGAATGTATTAAAATTTAATAAATTAACTAAATTTTTTATAAGAATAATATATTTAATTTTTTTCTAACAATTTTATATGTTAAATTATTTGAATTTATTGTAAAATATGAAATTCAATATGAAAAGAGACAATTTCAGAGATATTGTCAAACTTGGCACTTACATTGACTGCTAAGTGTCTCGGCGAGTCCAAGAGAATCGAACGTTCCTTATTTTTGCTACGCTCGTGCAAAATGTTACTATCAGCAGTTTAGAAGAAACGTAAAGATATTTTCACGCCACTTCAAGTAGAAATTTTCTTTCGAGATTATCTATAGTAACAAAATAGTTGTTTGCTTTGATCCATGTGCATTGGACACCATTGATGTTTATTAACCCTTTGCACTCTAAACATGTTCAGCACCTTAACAATTCATTTCTACAGCGAAACTTCGAACCTAAACTTTCATTTCGAAAAAGAAAAAATAATAAATCTTCATGGATTCCACGTCTCTTAATTTCTTCTGTCAATCTGTTATTCGTGTAAAAAGAGAAACAAGTATTTCACGATCGATAATTAATCATATAAGATCCATAATGCACGTTATATTAAGGGTTAAACTACTCCCGAAATCTCTATCGCGAGTCTCACTCGTCATTGTATAACAAGGGGTTAAATGGTTGAATGATCGTTGATAATACCACGCGAAATGTTCACCTTTCTTTCGTTATAGCGACTAAGAAGAAGCCTTCTGGCGTATAGAAATAGAAATGCATCAATAAACAAGCAAAGGATGCTCGAGAGTTGAAGGCCGAACAATGGCACCGAAATAAACCTCGAAGAACCATCCATTAAAGAGGGCATCGTCTACAGACAACTAAAATACAGCCAGCTACTTACTCCTCGTTCAATCAGTGCTCACTTGGTAAACGTACCAAAACGTTCATCGAAATCAATAAAGACATGATTCCTCCGTACACTAGCCCATACAGACCGAAATATTCTCGAACCCGTTAAAAAGTACTCTGTTCTGATTATTGTCATCTGATTCCGACGAGCCTGGCCAACAGAACAAACGCCTATTCCTCGTGGACGCCAGCACAAAACCATACGAGTCCCGTAGAAAAATCATTCCCACGGAATTCCAACAACAGCAGAAATAATCCGGACAAGAAGGTTAGGCGAAACGTCCTTCGTATAATATACGAATATATATGTTTATGTATACGCGACGCACGTGACGAGTAAACGTCTGTATCCGTTCGGCCACGGATTCGTTCGAGGTCCGTAAATGATCGGTGTCGTTCACTACCGCTCGTCCGGCACAGGACGAAAGAAACAAAAGAGTCGTCGTGTTCAACAGTCAGTGTCTTCCTGGTGGCGTCTACGTAGCTCCAGGTAACGGTGCCGGGCGTCGCAGTAATGAAGCAGCGGTACCTAGACATCCGTCCCAGTCCCTTCCTGGTAGCCCTCGTCGGGAGAGCTGCGCGTCGAACCAAGCACACGCTTCAACGCGGAGACCGGCGGCAAAACTGGCATTCCCTTCTGCCAGACCCGTATCTGCTTCGCGCCCGGTGGAAACTGCTCGACCATAGGCGCGACCACCGCCAGAGCCTCCTTCGAGGGGTAGGTGCTGACCGACACTGATGTCCTGCACGCATCCCTCGCGTCCCACAGACAACTTGAGTAAAGGATCTTGGCGTCGTCGACCACTTCCATGCGGCTGTAATCTGCCCCGCCGTACGGCGTGATGTCCTCGGCCGATCCTCGCCGAGTGTCCCTGATCAGGTCGGGGTTGTCGATTGGCATCAGCGACGTGGTCGAGGAGAAGCACGCGGCCGGCGCGACCATCTCCGAAGGGTGCTGACTCTGCTCGTCGAAACGGCCGATCGAGCCGTACTCGTTCTCCGGCTGCAACGACGCTGGCTGGGGTCTCTGGACGTAGCTGAGGCTGAGAGACACCGGCGGCTTCGACTCCACACCGAACGACGTGGTCTCTATTTCGTCGAGCTTCCTGCGGGAGCTCGATATCGCTGGGTTCTCGTTGTTCCCGGTGCTGCCGTCCACCGACACGCCTTCCGCGGGTACAGAGGACTTGACGTCTTTCAGCGGCATCCTCCTCAGACGGATGAACAAGACGAGGATTACGAGGAGAATCAGGAGAATCAAGACGACCAGCGCGGCAGAGATTCCCGCGATCTGGCCGGAGCCGAGCGTAGACATGCCAGCGGTTCTCAACGACACGTGAAGCGTAAAGTTCGCTTCGACGCTGCCGGCGCGGTTCTCGGCGACGCAGTAGAACTCACTGGTGTTGGCTTCCTGGGCGTTAGTCAGCACCAGCGTGCTCCTTTTCTTGAACTGGCCCTCTTCGAAGATTAGGATCTTCTGGTAGCTGCTGAAGGCTGAGTGATTGGTCAACAGCCTGCCGTTCGAGTACCACTTCATCTTAGCCGGTGGTATCGCGCTCACTAGACAGACGATAGTGGCGTTCTCGCCTATCGTCGCTTCCGCGTACCGGCTGGCCATCATGAGGATCGGCCGACACGCGAAATCGTCTATCCCCAGATCGGTGAACGTGTGGTTCAGCAGTTGTTTAGGTCCGTGGCACAAGGGAGCCTGAAGCGTTGGCAGGTTGTGTTTGACCAGCCACATTTTCATCTCGCGCAGGCTACAGTTGCAGATCCAGGGATTGTCGTGGAGCTCTATGCTGGTGAGCTTGTTCAGAGGCTCGAAGGTGCCCTTGTAAAGCGTGGACAACTGGTTGTTGTTCAGCTTCAAGCTTTCCAGCAGCTCCAGGCCCCAGAATCCTTTCGCCTCTATCTCGACCAGCTGCGCGTGAGAGAGATCGAGCTTGACCAGGTTAGGCGTGCTCTTGAACGCGAGCGAGTGAATCCTTTTCAGAGGATTGCCGGATAGCACGAGGTCCCTGAGGAACGGTGTGTTCGTGAAACTGGCGCTGGGGACTACGGTTAATAAGTTGTGACTTAAATCGAGCTCCACCAGATTCGTAAGGCCCGCCAGTGCCTCGCTATCGATTCGGTCGATACGGCACTCGCGTAGGTAGAGACGCTGTAGATTCGTCAAGCGTACGCGTACGAAGATATTGCTCGGCAAGATCCGGATATGGTTGCCGCTGGCGTCCAGCACTTGCGTCTCCGGATCGACCCACTCCGGTATGCCAGTCAGCGCACGATTTATACACTCGACCGTGCGCTTCCCGCTCTTCCACTTGCAGGAACACTCATCGGCGCACTTGTCGCTCGTCACAATGCCGAGCAACGTCATCACGTAAAATAAGAACACCGAGATTTCCATGACGAACGCGTGTATTATTGTCGAACGGTGGTCCTTACGGTGGTTCCGAGAAGCGACGTCCTCCCCGACAATCTCGCTCGAGGCTCCCAGCTTCGTCAGAAGCATCAATGATCGCGGAATACTTTCGCCCCTCCGAGAAAATCCCTCGCGGACATTCCGGCGTCCATTCCGAATTTCCGGAAACGACGATACCCTTCCGCGACTGTTCCTCCCGTCCCGTTCCGTTCCCGTTTCGTTGCGTTCC